GGCTGTCTCCGAACAACATGTTCTCAACGACTGCCCCTGATGGACATTCTTGAGGTCCTGAATCATGATGAGATGGAAGAGCAGCTCCTACTCCTCCTGGCCTGCCTGCCATTAAAGGTCATCTTTTTCCAGGAGGTGCTAAGAGGTTGAGGAGACAGGAGAAGGAGCAAGGACCTCCAATAGGAGAGGACCACATCTCTGGAACTAGTGGGACAAGTGACGAAGTAGCTGTCAGGGATGGAAAAGCTGAGAACTCTCACTATGGGAGATTCAGGAGGAAAAAGTCTTAGAGGATGAATGAAAGAATTTGAATCTTGACCGGTGTGATTCCCAAATCCAGGCACCTTTCCCAATACCAGACTGCTGGATAACAAAGGATAATATATGCTCATCATCTTCTTAAAAATGATACACATGCAAACATTTTTAAAGCATAAAGATTGATGTTTGGAAAAAAGTAAAAAGTCCTTTGATCCTGACATTTAAATGGACATTTGAAATCAAGATCAGATTATTTGCAAAGCTGGATAACAGGAATTCAGTCAGGGATCTTTTAACAACACATCAGAGACAGGAAAGATGCCTAAAATAACCCAGAGCATTCTGATAATTTTACCTTAGATTAGGGCATCCCATCACATTTATCTTGTAAGCTTTCAACAGGTAGAACCACTAGAACTTCTGTTAATAGGTAGTCACAAATCACTGCTTCTCCAGTATCTGCCCCTAATTTTACCTTAGATTAGGGCATCCCATCACATTTATCTTGTAAGCTTTCAACAGGTAGAATCACTAGAACTGCTGTTAATAGGTAGTCACAAATCACTGCTTCTCCAGTATCTGCCCCGGTGCATGTCAGTTCACTTGCAGTAACAACCACAGTGATCAATATTTGTCAAGAAAGGACTTCTCCCATATCCTTAATTTGGAACAAAATTAACATTTCGAATTCCATATGCAACTCAATATACTGTAAAACAATTTTTTTCTCACACTTCTTTTTAACTTCAAATCCCCATGGTTGGTAAAGAGTTAGTTTTGCAAAAGAAGAAATTTTATCACTTGTTTTGAATCTCTGCTAACATGGAGCTGTGTGACATGGTCCAAATGTTCTTTTACTCGTGTGGGATACTCAGGCCATCAAAATTTCATTAGCCTCACAGCAGTTCTAGCGCCTTCTTAACTTGAACTGTTGGCCTCTTTATCAATAAATAAATGAAATCTAATCCCTTTTAGTCACTAAACTCTTCTTTGAAGTTATAACTAGAACATCAGGCACTCTGCTTGCATAATTTTACAAATGTTGAATAACATTTTTTTCTGGGGAAAACAGCCTCATTCAGAGTTATTTTAAATGATGAAAACAGTCAACCCAAACTCCCATATTAAACCTAAGGAAAACAAATCAGTGCCTGGTTTCTAACTTAACTATTTCATTTTAGTGAACTATTTTACCTCTGTCCTTCTTGTCTCAACCTTTAGTGATATAATAGAACTTCCAAGGACACATCTCAAGCTAGTACAAAAATGAATAAAATTAGACAACGAAAATAGAGTCAAAGGAAAATATAAATGGAAAATCTATAAACTTTCAATGTTGGAGCAATTTAAAATACCTGAGGAGAGTAGAGCTGAATTATTTAAATAATTTTGTATGAGAAATATTTGACTAGAAGTAGTAATAAGAGTAAAAATATGTGTAAGTTTTGAGAATATTGTTTATAACAATTGATGACAGAAACAAAGCAGGTTTCTAAAATAAACCTGGCCTTGGATTGAATATCATGAGCTCAGTGTTGGCATCTTGTTTCACAGGTAAAACTAGTTGAAGTTTACGTTGTGATTCAGTAACTAATGTATAACTTGCTAGAAAGGTCAAAAAACATGGAAAATGCTCTAGAAGATGAACACAGACATTTTTAGCTTTATGATGTAACTTGTAATCAATGATTACAACATCTGTATTTTTACCTACCAATGAAAATGAGACAACTCCAGAATGAGACATCTGCCTCTCTATGTGAACTTTCCCAGAAAATCCTTTCAGTTTGTAATAGTCTTCAGAGCACTTTCCAACCCTGTTGGTCTGTGTTTCCCAAGTCGACCCTCAAGCTTGGCTTTTTATAAACATTTATAAAATTATTTCTGCTTCAATAGCTTTGAGTTTGGTCCACACAATGTTAGAAGAACCTGTGTATGGCTGCAAATTCAGTTCTTACTAGAACCCTGCTTAAGAATAAAAATAACCCGTAATCTTTCATGTCAGGAAAAGAAAATTCTCAATGTTCTTGTTTAATACCACACTTCAAAGTTATAAGGTCTGCTAAATACCTCAGAAACTCATGTTTCCCCATATCTTAATGTAATTAATTACTTTAAATGAAATCTTGCTCCTTCTGAGGAATCACTGAAATTTAAGAACAAATAAATTAATCTGAAATCTCCTATTGACATACTTATTAAATATACGAAATAGCCAGTACTCATTAAGAGAACATATCTATTTTATTTCCTCTTTTGTTTCCTTCCTTAAATTGACCTCATTGGGAATTCTTAGACCATCAAAATGTAGTTTAAAAAAACCACAACCAAACCTTGGGAAAAGAGTAAACACAAGCTTAAGTCATCACCCAACTCAACAAAGATTGCTTTTGACACTTTATACTGTTAACTTAGCTGACCTGTTCGCTCTCAACAAATGCTGCCAAATGTTCTGAATTTCAAGGCGAGGCCCTTAACACTCTCTCCTTGTCTCTGTTCATTCTGCCTCATGGCCACCACTCAGAGAAATGAAAGAGTGCAACTTTTCTTTCCTTTACCACCTTCTAGGAACAAGGTCTATGAGATTTCTTCTCTAGTTAATAATAATCCATGCAAATGGAGAGGGGCGGTGGGGCAAGAAACTCACAAGCCTTCCTCCTCTCCTCCCAACCATTTAGACGTTATATACTGTTAATTAAAGGCTACAAAGTTTGCAGTTTTATATTATCCATAAAGAAAAAAATGGCATGTGTTTGGGAATTCACTATGAGATAGTTTTAGCAGATACAGAATTCTAAAAATAATAAAATTTAATTTATATTTTACTTATACAGACAAAGTTTGCAGTTTTATATTATCCATAAAGAAAAAAATGGCATGTGTTTGGGAATTCACTAGGAGATAGTTTTAGCAGATACAGAATTCTAAAAATAATAAAATTTAATTTATATTTTACTTATACAGATACAATAACAAGATACACTTGTTATTGCAGAGAGAGAAAGAGATGCTACAAAGGTTTGGGGTGGAAAGGGCAAGCTGACCCAATGTGAAAAATATTTAATAGATAAGGATATAGAGTATCAGAACTGATTGCATTATCCTGCTGCATTCTACTCTTTTTTCTATAGCATTACAAATTTTATTGTGTATTTTAAGAAAATCAAATGTCAAATGCTACATTTGAGTGTAACCATTGTACCTGCGATTGCTCAGTCTTATGTGAAGTTCAGATGGATGGGACGCAATATTTATACCAAATCATACACATTTAAGGTTAGTGACTTCTAGATCGACTATGAAAATTGATATAAACTCAGGATTTACCGAGGTACATAGATTAGCTGAGAGAAATATTGGCAGCCTGATTCTTAGACTCATTTTGTCAAAAACAATTGTCCTTGTTTCTTCTCTTGGGTTGGAATAAAGCCAACCTCCACCAAGAACTAACACTTCCAAAGTGAAGATACTGAGTGTATGTTATTAACTGATCTTGACTTTGTTGTAATACACTGAAGTATTCTGCATAAGAAATTGTTTTTGTTGGTTTGAATTAGACTTTTTAAATTTTTTTTCATGAATAGAAAGGAAACCAATAAGCAGTGGGAAACACTAGGCACCAGCTCATCCTGTGACTTAGCTGAAACTGAAAGCTAGCAGTAGATCTGCTTTCCTATTACAAAGCAAAGCTGCCAAAGTTGCTCAGTAAATAATAAAAATGAAGTATCATTGATAAAACAACCATCTTTCTTTTCAAATGTCATGCAATTCTTCCATTTTGATTGTCTCCTTGCTTTTTGATGCATCACATGCATAGCACTAATAACTAGGCTGAAGTAGCAAGTGCACTGCTGATATTAAAAGCTGAAGGAGAAATGTTTTTGTTGTTGTCGTCTGGTGCATTGTCAATGATGCTCTGATTTTTCCTAGAAGCAGCACTGAGTAAAAATTAAGTTTTCTTTTAAACTTATTATTGCATATAAATTAACTTGGGGTTTTATTATTATTATTATTATTATCTTGCATTGGTAATAGGAAAAAAGTCCCAATTTATAAAGACGTTTTTCTTACAATATGTAAAGCTACTATTTGGATATCCTAAAATCCAATTTTTGTGTGTGGATTTAATTGCACAGTAATCCAGTCCCCAAAGCACATCAAAGGGCACACTCCTCCTCTTTACCAAGATTTCAATTGCTCTCATCAACTAGTAAGTTTAAAGCATGATCAAATTTGTTCTTCAATCACTTGAGCCCTGTTAATAAACTATTCTGTGTGCTCACTCATCCATTCTAAGATTCTGAAGCTTCTTTGAGATATCTTCAAGAGGAATCTACAAAGACATCTTTGATTGCAAGCTAGCTCTGGGGTAAACTTTATCAACACTTGCTTTGTGACTCCACTGAGGATAACAGGTGACGTGGTCCAAGATAAGTCAAAGCTAATCCTTTTTTTTTTTCTGTACACGATTAAACTGTTTTTCAAAACTATAGCTAACACATCATAGACTGCTTGCCTAATTTAACCATCTGATGTTGAATATTGATTTTTTCCAGGGAAAAAAAAAAGCATTATTCAAGGGCATTTCTTGGGTTAGACTGCATTAAAACAAAAAGGAAGGTAGAAAGAAAGAGAAAGAAGGAAAGGAGGAAGGAAGAAAGGAAGGAAAACATGCCTCCATAGTCAACCACAACAGAAGCACTGAACGCCAACATTAGAAAGCAAAAAATGAAACTTACCGTTCTCACTGTCGGACTTGTTTTCGTGCTCCGTATCTGTCAGGGTGAGGGCTGAGTTGGACCGACTTGACAGGCAGGAACTGCGGCCCGATTTGACCCCCCTGCCCCAAAGTCTCATGGCATGCTCTGGGGACATCACTGCTTCATTTTCAGTATCAGCATCTGACCCTGCACTGATAGAGTAACCTCTGTGGGGGAGCCCCATTTCCGCACAAAATGCCAGTCCTCTTCGAGTTGCTGGTTCACAAACTCCTAACTGCCTTAGGGTAAAATTCTGTCCTAATTAGGGGGAAAAAAAGATAACAACTAGTGAGTATAGTTTTAGTGCTAGTTTTTTGTTTTTTTTTTTTTTTTCTTTTTAAAAACAATCTCCCTGATATAAATACTCAAGCATTCAGGTTTTTCAGCTATCAGCACCAGGTATTTACTTTAGCTTTGCATGGCATATGTTCAGGTGGGTGCAGTTATGGGAGGGTGGGGCCCCACTACTGACCTTCCACAAGCCCAGTTTAAAGCTCCTTTGTCAATTGTTTAAGCCTATAAACATCTCCAGAGAGATAGGCAAGTCAAGTGGAACAGATCATGAAAACTTGACCCAGAGAAAGGATTCCCTACCAACGATAGAATTTTGTTTAACAGACTTGTGAAGCAATAAGAATTGTCAAAATTATTTCCTGTGTCCTGGCGCCAGTCCTAAACAATAGGATTTTCCCACCCAGATGCCACTCCATTGGAAGAGAAAACATTTCCCTCAAGAATAAGTTACTTGTTAAGCAGAAACAGAGGCTTGGTCAGTCTTACATCTTTTCACCTTAACTTAGCAACTAATGTAAACATGTATTTTGTGTGTGTGTGTGTGTGTGTACATAGTAAATTTTGGAATGTAATGATTTGAAAATTTGCAACACATTTTGGACATCTTTGACATTCTAGACTTTTTGCTTTGATAAACACCTGGAGACATCTATATTGATCAGAGTAAACCAATTTTTGCAAATAAAGTGCACTCTAAAAATAAAGTGAGAGTGTTACGTATTTAAAAATTAATGATAAAATCAAGTTCCCTGAAAAATAAATGGCTTGAACTCTGCAGGCCTTTACTAATAAATTGAGCATAATAAAACTCATGACACTGTAATAACTTAAAGCAAAAGTGTTTAAATTAGGTGACACTTTAAAATGACTGCTGTTATTAATGACTTTTCTGATCCTGTATTTATTCTTGAAATTTCACATGTTTTATGATACTATGGATGAGAAGAGTGAGAAAAATGTTTGCTTGTAGGATGTACATATATATATAAAAACTCTTCCATTTTTTATCTTTCGTGCGCTGCCGCGCTTCCCAAGCGGCGCACTATCCAGTGCGCCACCGGGCCGGCCCCAAAACTCTTCCATTTTTTATCTTTCATTGACATGGTAGAGTGTGAGATTTAGGTACCAACCAGAATCAAAATATGTGTAAAGAATAATAGTATACAAAGATTGATTTAAATGCGACTATTCAATAACCAAACCTTTTAAAGAATATTAAGCATTTATATTACTCATAGTTTTAATTTTCCTACTTCTATCTCTCAAATCTATGGACATTTTCAAGTTAATTGGATGGTATAAGAAACACACATTATACTTTTTAAAAGAGCATATTATAAATTATTTGTGATGAAATAATAACATGTTGAATCCTCTAGGAAATAAATCAAACATAATACGCACTATGGTATATACTTGGTTGTAAGGATGTTAGTGCACTCCAGGCCTCAGCACATTTTAACTAGTGTGGTTAATTGCTTTATTGCTGTGGTCCTATCGGAAGTTGGAATCAGCTTTATCTTGGTCAGACTTCCAAATGGATTCTGACAATGACACTCATAAATAATGAAAATCAGTTGCTACAATTAGCTGCAAATCAAACTGTGCTTATCAGAGAGATGTGAATAAGTATCTGAACCAAAAAGTATGTCAAAAGAAAAAAAAAAGAAAGAAAGAAATAAGAAGAGAAAAAAGGGAAAAGGGCCTGCCCATTGAATAGTGAGAAAGTGGGCAAGCTCACTAAGGTAATTTACAGGATTGTCAGCATTTTAAAAGAATTAGTGTGGACTGTATTCATGAAAGTAAATCCCAACAAGGTCAATATCATCATGAGCAGTTAATGGAATTGCTGTGGAAGAGCTTACCCACTGTTATTTACATGTCACATTTAAAATGGGGGGAGGGCTCTGAAACATTTAAATATTATCATCAAACATGCTGATTTTTCAGAATAAGAACACAAATTTTGAAGAGTGAAAAATGAATGATAAGATCCTCTGCATCTTTCCATTATTTGGGGAGGTGCACACATTTGAGAATAAGAAGAGAGAAGTTAGACAATCAGAACTCCCTTTTTAATCTCTGAAATGTAACTTGAAACATTTTCCAGGTTATCGACTTTTTACACTATTGCCATCTTGAGGCAAAAATCTATGAGGTGAAGGAAAGCAGACAACTGCAATCTTTATTCGTTGTTCAGGTATGTAAACACAGTCCACTTTGCAACTAAATACCCAATGCATTTTCTATGAATTAATATGTGTATCCCAAACTCCATAGACATCTGACCCTCTGACGTCAATGTCTCACAATGATTCAAAACTCTTAAGGGCTGTTTCTGAAATGCAAGCTAGTAAGCAAGCACAGCAGCAGGAATCCCTGTTAGATTTCTGCAATGAGTTAAAAAGTCTGGTTTTGTTTCCCCGAGGAAAGAACAGCAAATCTTAAGGGCTGTTTCTGAAATGCAAGCTAGTAAGCAAGCACAGCAGCAGGAATCCCTGTTAGGTTTCTGCAATGAGTTAAAAAGTCTGGTTTTGTTTCCCCGAGGAAAGAACAGCAAATGTGGCCTCAGATGGACCTCGGTTAAAGCCACTCACTAGCTCCGTTCAAATCACATTACCACTATATTTTCATCTTTCAAGGCTGTCATGACTTTTTTTTTTCTTTTGACATACTTTTTGGTTTAAGAGATGGTTTCTGAAAATGTAATGAGCATAAAAAAGGGCTAAATGAAAAAAAATTGCTTAAGAAGAAATACCTTGAAAAACATAATTAATCATCATAGACAAAAATATCATTTGATGGTGGGGAGAAGATAATTTTCAAATAGCCACATCATGATCAAACTTGATTTTACTTAAGTAACCACCTTCATTCAAAAACATCTCTACCCCAGACCTGCCTCAGTCAACAATAGAACAAATTCTATTGTCAATTCTCCTTGTTGGTTAAGGATTGTTGCTTTTAGGATCCTTTTTTTTTTTCATGCAAATACCCCTCGGAAGATCTAACTATTAAATTAGAATAAATTAGTCTATTTGATTCTTTCCCACAATCTAGCAATGCTTAGCCAGACAGGCTATACTTCTGGAAAACATGCAATTTTGGCATCTACAGGGAAGATGGAGACAAGAAAGGTTCCTGACTGGGAGAAGAGACCGTGGGAGAAGTATGGAGCAGGTTAGGAGGGTTGGGCATGGGTGGGATCACTGGGAGGAGGGCTCTGAGGCAATGCAGACAAGTGGAAAGAGAAAGGCAGGAGAAGGCAGCTCAGATGCCTCTGGGGCCAGGCTAACCACTTGACAATACTGCTTAAAGTCAACTTTGGCTTCAAGTAACAAACACTTTATTCTTATTTTCCATAGTTTCTTCAGATTGTAAAAGCCTCATGTTCTTTGCAATAGTTCTAACACCACTGCCTTAATTTCTTTCTTTGCCCTTTACAGTCTGTATCTTAATTCTGTCTGGCTGAGACTGGCAAAATAAGTACTGTATTTATCTCCTGCCCGTTGAATTTTGGTAACCTTAATCAGCAGGGCCAACAACAGAGTTTCCCATTACGATTTGAAACAGTACCAAAACCATAAATTGTAGCAAGAACAAAGTATATCTGAGGATGGAATTCATTGTGATTAAAAGGCAAGCTTAGCTTGGATTAGATTAGGCAGTTTTGTTTTATGACACTCATAAATTTGAAAATCTATAAAAGAAAAATAGAATAAACACAACCTAGGCAGGTTGTGTCATTTTTTAAAAGTTCACATTAAAAAAAAAAAAATGAGTGAGGTTGTGTGACAAAGTGGAAAGGATGCTATAAAGACAAATAAAACGAAGTTGGCTCATAGTACAGCTACCCCTTCAATACAAGAAGGGGCTCAGAAAAATGGGTTAGCTATTTGGCCTTTTTCTCACATGGAGTTTATAATCTAGTCTGAACAGGGAGGGATGTTTTTTAAGCTGCAATCAGAATGATGTTTACCAACAGGCAAGACACTTACTGTCTCTTGTGTAATTTGAAAAGAAAAACATGAGGAACTAGTCTCGGAGTTACATGGAGTGACTGCAGCACCCTAGGGGGAGGGCATGCTTTCCCCTCTAAAATTTAGATTTCTCTCATGTCTAGACTTGGCTCTTTCTCTCTCTCTTTCTTGCTCGTTTGTTCTTTTTTAAATAATCAGCTTCATTGAGATATAATTCACATACCATACAATGTACCCACCTAAAGTATACAGTTCAGTAGTTTTTAGGATATTCACAGAGTTCTGCAACTATGACCACAATCAATTTTGGAACATGTTTGTCTCCCCAAAAGAAACCTCATACCAATTATCAACTACCTCCAATTTCTCCTTTAAACCCTCCTCCTTCCAGCACTAGGCAACCACTAATCTACTTCTGTCTCTAGAAATTTCCTATTCTGGCCATTTCAAATAAAGGAGATCCTATAATATGTGGTCTTTTGTGACTGGCAACCACATTGTAGCATGTATCAGAACTTCATTCTTTTTTATGGCTGACTAATATCCCATTGTATATGTAAGAAAATAATCTAAATGACTCATTTTTAGAAACGACTTATCTGATGGTGTTTTATTGAGATGGTAATTGGTTACTAGCCCCTTTTGTTTCCTGGAGGGTCACTGGACAGATAAGGCTCTCCTTGAGATGGTAATTAGTTGCTAGCCCCTTTTATTTTCTTCATTCCCTGGTGTTTCTCCCTTCACAGGGCTTTAGCAAGCCTTTTTGGGGGGCTTGTCCTGAGCCCCCAGACAAAGGCATTCCTTACAAAGGGGTAACAAATCTTAGGCATTGTTTGGGAAGATTGTGTACCCCGTAGTGGGAGGAGGGACTTGCACACTAGGGAATGCATTGCTCCATGTAATCGTTTCAGGTGTGCCTGCCCTTCAGACACCCAATCTTACAAGACCACCATTAAAGTCTCACTTTGTCTCTGTGTCCATCCT